TAAAAAGAGCTTAATTTCTCAAATTTTGAACGACCTTGACCCTTGACCTTTGCATTGATTTCATGATCAAAGGTCAATGAATCTTATGCAGTTGGTTCCATGTCTCTATCACTTCTCGTTTTGAAAATTTTTAATTATATCTAAAATTAAAAAAGTTTCAGGGGCAATAACTCATTGAAGGGGTCACCGAATACTTTCGCAATGAATAGATTCAAGAGTCCTCTCAATTAGTCGAAGACTTTAGTGAAGGTTTCATATTTCTACGGTTTATGGTTTTGAAGGAGTAGCGATAACAAGGTTTTACATACAAGGGGTGAGAACTCCGAAAGGGGTCATAGGTCATACGCGTTGGGTATTTTTTCGAAATAACTTTTAATGGCAAGTATCATGAACTGCAAAGTTCTTCGAGAACTCTTTTGGTTCAATTTTCGATAACGGAAAAATAATAATAAACAGAAGCATTTCAAGAGGTCTTTCCACAGAAAGGTGGAAAGACCTAACTAGGAGACTTATTGTTCACAGAACAATAAGAGGTCTTTCCACCTTTTGAATTTCAATTTCATTTAATATTTATCTATTTAAAATTAAATTTCATAAAAAAGAAACCAGAAATTGCTTAAAAGAAGAAAAAAAATGAAAATGAAAAATTTTTTTTAGGTGACCTTGACCTTTGACCTTCAAGTCATATTCAAGGTCAAAGGTCAAGGGTCACATTGTAATTAATCCCATGTCTCTATGACTTATAGTTTTAAAGTTATAAGGTTTAATAGTAAGCACAAAAGCATTTAAGGGCAGTAACTCATTCAAGGAGTCACCAGATCCTTTTGCACTTGAACATAAAAGTTTTGTCTAAAGTCCCATAAGACATTAGAGAAGGTTTCGTGTCTTTGTGGTTTACGGTTTTGGAGCTATAGCAATAAAAATGTTTTTCGTACAAGGGGCAATAATTTTTAATAGGGTCAATCTTAGGGGACGAGAATGAAATCTAAGACACAGTTTTAAAAGTACATATTAATGATGCATAGACATTAAGCATATGTTGAAAGACAAAAGAGATATAAAAAGAGCTAAATTTCTCAGTTTTGGAATGACCTTGACCTTTGACCTTTACATGAATTTTAAGCTCAAAGGTCAATGAATCTTATGCAGTTGGGCTCATGTCTCCATACCTTCTCGTTTTGAAAATTTTTAATTATTTCTAAAATTCAGAGATTTTCAAGGGCAATAACTCATTGAAGGAGTCACCAAATACTTTCACAATGAATAAATTCCAGAACCCTCTCAATTAGTCGAAGACTTTAGTGAAGGTTTCATATTTGTACGTTTTACGGTTCCGAAGTAGTAGCGATAACAAGGTTTACCGCACAAAGGGCGATAACTTTTAATAGGGTCAATCTTACGGAATACGAATTGAATCTTTTAAATAGTTTTAAGAGTACATATTAATGATGCTAAGACAGTTTGTATATGTTTAGAGACAAAATGGATATAAAAAGAGCGTAATTTCTCAATTTTGGAATGACCTTGACCTTTGACCTTTACATGAATTTTAACCTCAAAGGTAAATGAATCTGATGCAGTTGGTCCCATGTCTCTATCACTTCTTGTATTGAAAATTTTTAGTTATTTCTAAAATTCAAAAAGTTTCAGGGGCAATAACTCATTGAAGAAGTCACCGAAGACTTTCGCAATGAATAGATTCCAGAATCCTCTCAATTAGTCGAAGACTTTAGTGAAGGTTTCATAATTGTACAGTTTATGGTTTCGCAGTAGTAGCGATAACAAGGTTTTCCGCACAAAGGGCGATAACTTTTAATAGGGTCAATCTTACGGAATACGAATTGAATCTTTAAAATAGTTTTAAAAGTACATATTAATGATGCTAAGACAGTTTGTATATGTTTAGAGACAAAAAAGATATAAAAAGAGCTTAATTTCTCAATTTTGGAATGACCTTGACCTTTGACCTTTACATGAATTTTAAGCTCAAATGTCAATGAATCTTATGCAGTTGGTCCCATGTCTCTATCACTTCTCGTTTCAAAAATTTTTAATTATTTCTAAAATTCAAAAAGTTTCAGGGGCAATAACTCATTGAAGGAGTCACCGAAGACTTTTGCAATGAATAGATTCCAGAATCCTCTCAATTAGTCGAAGACTTTAGTGAAGGTTTAATATTTCTACGGTTTACGGTTTCGAAGGAGTAGCGATAACAAGCATTTCTTGCGAAAGGGGCAATAACTTTGAAAGGGGTCAAAGATCAAACATGGGGGGTCGTTTTTCAGAATAACTTTTAATATCCAATGTCATGAACTATAAAGTTTTTCGATAAGTCAAGCGGTTTCAAAAGTCCGGGAAGAAAAATAATAATAATAATAATAATAACTAGGAGACTTATTGTTCACAGAACAATAAGAGGTCTTTCCACCTTTTGAATTTCAATTTCATTTAATATTTATCTATTTAGAATTAAATTTCATAAAAAAGAAACCAGGAATGGCTTAAAAGAAGAAAAAAAGGAAAATGAATTTTTTTTTTAGGTGACCTTGACCTTTGACCTTCAAGTCATGTTCAAGGTCAAAGGTCAAGGGTCAAAATGTAATTAACCCCATGTCTCTATGACTTATAGTTTTAAAGTTATAAGGTTTAATAGTAAGCACAAAAGCACTTAAGGGCAGTAACTCATTCAAGGAGTCACCAGATCCTTTTGCACTTGACCATAAAAGTTTTGCCTAAAGTCGAATAAGACATTAGAGAAGGTTTCATGTCTTTGCGGTTTACAGTTTTGAAGCAATAGCAATAAAAAAAAATTTCGCACAAGGGGCAATAACTTTTAATAGGGTCAATCTTAAGGGACAAGAATGAAATCTTTGACACAGTTTTAAGAGTACATATTAATGATGCATAGACATTAAGCATATGTGGAAAGACAAAAGAGATATAAAAATAGCTAAATTTCTCAGTTTTGGAATGACCTTGACCTTTGACCTTTACATGAATTTTAAGCTCAATGGTCAATGAATCTTATGCAGTTGAGTTCATGTCTCTATCACTTCTCGTTCTGAAAATTTTTAATTATTTGTAAAATTCAAAAAGTTTCAGGGGCAATAACTCATTGAAGGGGTCACCGAAGACTTTCACAATGAATAGATTCCAGAGTCCTCTCAATTAGTCGAAGACTTTAGTGAAGGTTTCATATTTCTACAGTTTACGTTTTCGAAGGAGTAGCGATAACAAGGTTTTTCGCACAAAGGGCAATAACTTTTAATGGGGTCAATCTTACGGAATACGAATAAAATCTTTTAAATAGTTTTAAGAGTACATATTATTAATGCTAAAACAGTTTGTATATGTTAAGAGACAAAAAAGATATAAAAAGAGCTTAATTTCTCAATTTTGGAATGACCTTGACCTTTGACCTTTGCATTAATTTCATGATCAAAGGTCAATGAATCTAATGCAGTTGGTCCCATGTCTCTATCACTTCTCGTTCTGAAAATTTTTAATCATTTGTAAAATTCAAAAAGTTTCAGGGGCAATAACTCATTGAAGGGGTCACCGAAGACTTTCGCAATGAATAGATTCCAGAGTCCTCTCAATTAGTCGGAGACTTTAGTGAAGGTTTCATATTTCTACCGTTAACGGTTTCAAAGGAGTAGCGATAACAAGGTTTTACATAAAAGGGGCAAGAACTCCGTAAGGGGTCATAGGTCATAGACGTTGGGTTGTTTTTCGAAATAACTTTTAATGTCCAGTATCATGAACTAAAAAGTTTTTCGATAAGCCTTTCGGATCAAAAGTCCGTAGCGGAAAAATAATAATAATAATAATAATAAACAGAAGCATTTCAAGAGGTCTTTCCACAGAAAGGTGGAAAGACCTAAATAATAAACATAAGCATTTCAAGAGGTCTTTCCACAGAAAGGTGGAAAGACCTAATAATAAACAGAAGCATTTCAAGAGGTCTTTCCACAGAAAGGTGGAAAGACCTAATTAACTGAAATGTATTCATCAAAACACAAATTTTCAAAGCATTTAAATAAATTATTTAAAAATCAAAATGTACTGTTTGATACTATCTAAACATATATTCATGGAAATTAATCGACATTTATTTATAAAACATTAGCACAACTTACTAAGATATATTCCCCAAATCATTGTGTTAAATTTTCTCTACATTTATTTCTTTGTCCATTCATGATAAACAATTGTCGTCTCAACTTAATTTCTAAAAGACATTGGGTTCGATGCCACATGACTTTCTAGAACTTTCAACGAATAGCGAAATCATACATCAACGGAAATGATTTGCATATTTTGTTTTTTAATCAATGACCAATGCTTATTTCTTTTATCATATAAATTCATATACAGACGTTGTAAATTGTTTCGATTTTTACTTTTATGCCAATAAAAGTATTATTTTCATAAACAAATACATACACTCTAGCAACTACAAATTGTATGCTTTACACACAAGTGCATTTAGTAAAAACGTGGTATGTTATTGACAAACAACTTGATGAAATATACACAAATAGCAGCAGTAAAATTAAAGACATAATTTCATAAGTACACCATGGCATAGTCAGCAAATCTATCATTAAGTCAAATGCTGACTGACGATAGTCATACTAATTGTTAGGCCATTATTTAGACACTGAATTGTTGACGAATGTTTCATTTATTTCTCAATCATGACAAGGTACACACGGCGTGTGTGACTGGTCGGCAGAACATGCTTACTTCTTCATGGCACCTAATCTCATGTAGGACGTTTGTGAGGTCCCTATGTGCTCTGCTCCTTATTTGTATTGTTTAATGGACTTCTGAGTGTAAAACAATTCGTTATCTCCACATATTTTATTGAATTACTGATATTGTAAATACAAAAACTACATGATGCAAGAGAAAAGTGAAAAATTCGTGTACAAAAATGTGAGCTAAAACTGGAACAAGAACAAAAGTAGTTAATATATGACATTAAGCTATTGTATTACTTTTTAGGCTTAGAAGCACTCTTTTATAAATACCTTTAATGCTAAAGAAGTTAATGTTTGGTGATGTAAATAAACTAAAATTAAAGATGGATTGCATATATATCTTAGAATGTAAAACTCTAGCATATTTACGAAAGAATTACCTGAACAATTATTATTCTCACAGACCAAATGTTGTTGAATTCATAGAAATAATGTCAACTACAAACGACAAAATGCTGAAAAAACTTGGTATGTTTATCCAAAAAATTATGCTGCTGTCTGTCCTCCTCACTATGATTTCCCACTCTTTCCTCCCCCTCAACCTTCCGCCATGTCTTTATATTGTATATATGTACCTCTTACCAGAATGTATATTTCTTATATAATGTATATACAGTCATCTACATATGCTATTTATGCACTTTAACCGATGTACTAATAGGTTGGTCTGGGTGAAATATACTAAACTGAAAACTAAAACTGAGATGAAATATCATAGAATGTTAATTACGCATGAAATCTGTTACATACAAAAAAAAAAATAAAAACAAATGCTTTATTTACGTTGAGAGAAATTCTGTATGATTCATATTCTCGCTAAATTATAAATTCTGGAATCGCTCAAGATAATATGCATCCTGATCCACTTGACGGAGGTTTGCTCACTGAAAGATAAAGGATGTAATATAGATCTTGATAAACAATAATAAAGTATTTACCATTAATAATTAACTTATTGTGAGTACTCCTTTAATAATAACAATACTACGTCTTCTGCTAATACACGTGTACTACTTCTAAGAATACTATTAATTAAATAGAATTAACAAGCAGGTAAACATTCAAAACACACAAAAAGTGTTCATATGGATTCAAATCTGATTGACACCCTCACCTGTTTCTCTGTATGACTCACGGAACTGTTTAAGTTCCTTTTTGTGCATATCTCTCATTTCGGCCATCATGGACTGAAGTTTAAGTTGCATTTCTTCTCTTTCCTGTCGAAACTCTCTTTCTTTTTGCTGAAGTCTTTCTTCCAGGTTCCTCTTTTTTTGGTCGTTACTTTTTTTTAGAAAACGTATTTCTCTCTGATATTCATCTTGCAGGTTTAACATTATGCGCTCCAATTTTTCTCTTTCGAATTCTTCCTTACATTCTCTAATATTATTTTCATGTTCTTTTTTCTCTTTTTCATACTTTTCTTCAAGTAGTTTCATGTTGGTAATTCTGGCTGCCTCAGCTTCGGCTTTCTTTTTTTCAAATAAGTCTCTTTTCTCCTTTAAGGCAGCTTCCTGTCTTCTTATTTCCTGGAAATGTTTTTCTTTTTCTTCCTCTTCTTTCCTTTTCATTTCTTCTGCTTCCATCTTCTTTTTCTTTTGGTAAGCTTCCTCTACTTCTTGATACATTCTATTGGTAAAACACTGACCTTTCCTTTCTTCCATCAAACACTGTACCATGAATGTTAATACTGATACTTTTCTTTGCTTTTGGTCTACTGGAGCATTGTTATTTAAAGTAATGTATCTGTACTTTGCCTTTTTAAGAATATTCAGGAGTTTTTCATCGCCTTTTGCTAGAAACCTGTCGATCGAACTCCCTTCTCTTTCAATATCATCACATTGGGTAAATAGAATAATCAAATGCTCTTCTAAATGATCTCCAAACTTTTCTTTGCATTTTTGCAAAACAAATTGATCATCATTAGTAAATCTACCTATTTCGGTAACAAGTATAAAGGCGTGTAATCCTGGAGCGGTATACTCTACGCACCTTTGCAGTTCTCTATCAATATCTTCTTCACTCATTGTCAAGTCACAAAATCCAGGCGAATCAACGACCATCAACCGTTTTCCTACAATTTCAACTTTACCATATTGTACTCCATGTGTTACTGACTGCATGCGTGCCTTTGATAAAAATGTCTCCTTTCCTAAGATTGTATTACCTGTCCTGCTTTTTCCTACACCAGTCTTTCCGATCAAAAGTACTCGCATTTCCTCTTCTGTTTCATCTTAAAGTAATGCACATTAAACATGTGTGTTAAATTCCAATAAGTAATGCAAAGACATGTGGTGGAAGAAACGTATATTTTTACGCATATTATTACTTAAGGACATATTATGCAAACAAAATTTTGTGAAAATTCCTTGAAATACCAACATCAGTTATATGTAAATGCGTTCAGGGAATAAGTTCAACAGCACATATTTAAATTTTTATTCAAATTTTCACAATAATAGAATATAAAGTGACAAACAATTGTAAACATTAATTTGGATGGTTTAGGAGAGGATTAGATTTTTACATTTGAATTTTATTTATAATTATATAAAACGATGAAATACACCAAACAAGCTTGAATAAAAATAATGAACCCCCACTGTACTGATATTTTGTTTAGAAGCCTCTGAATATCTTGCATTTACCTTTCATATCTAGGTGAGAAAAGTCTGCAGTTGTCCCTTTCAAGTCGAATGAAGTTTTGTCTTCATTTTCAAGGCCATGGCCAACTAAAAAGAATTTTAAAAAGTCACGGATGACAGAGTTATAAGAATAGTGAGAATATGTATCTCAATAACCTTTGGAATAATACCAATCTTTCTAAAAAAAAAAAAGATTTATTGAGTTTCTGCCTCAATTTGATTCCAATAAAAAAAAATCTTTTGGGGAGTTGAACTATGTTCAATCTCCCATGGTCATTACGCATTTGACATGCACAGTAATTTTTGTTGATTTAAAATCCGAAAGCAAGGCTAAATCAGCAGTATCACTTGCCAAAAGCGATAAGTCTAGTTCTCTGTTATAAATGTAAAAACTAAAAATGGACACCAAGCAGGGGGTATAAAAAAGAAATAATGTAGAAAGGCAAGCATTATGGCCCATGCGTTTTTTGCTATTCAATGTTTCTGAATGTCTTTCTCAAGAATGTTGCAACTCAGAAAATCTGAAACAGTTGTCTGTATTTGAAATAATGATATTGTTCACTCACTTTACCTCCCGATCAAAGATTTTATTTTACATGTTCAACTCCCATGAGTATTTTCAGTACTTTGATTTATATTTGGAAACGTGCACCCGATTCAAATATGGCTATTTTTGTATCTACTCCGTCGAAGTTCATTGTTTGTTAACGTTTGAACATTTCAACTTCATTGTAAGCATTGAACGAATTCTTCCATTTTGGTATATATATTTTTCATAAAAGGCGGCATGGAGATATGGGTTATTAGTTTTAGAATGATTGCCGATTTTTTAAGACTTAATTAGTATCTGAATACTGCAATACGGTTCAAATTCACATGTTGAGGATAATTAGAATTGTATTTAGACTTGTCATGTGATTTTGGAGTGACATGAGTATAGCAAATATACTTGCAGTTTTGAGATCATTTATAAATTCCAATATTGCAAAGACATACAATGTAACCAGGTTTAAATCTTCGCTTAATTTATAATTCTTTTCAGCACTACATGTGCTTTATAAAAAGTTATTCAATTTCTAAATTTTTTATATGACAGGTTGAAAAATCTTTTGGTTAACTTACTACATGATTATAGTTATAATTATTTTTTTTGCAAGATTTAATGCGATTTGCAGCTTTTTTCTAATATCTAAATGTCTCTTGAGTGTAGGTGTAAAAACTTTGCAAGATACATTGAGGGTATGCCCTTGTAATAATATGATTTAAAAGCCTGTCTCCGAGAAAAGCATGCAAAATAGTCCGAAAGCAGGTTTCTCCGATTGCCTACAAATTTTAAGAGCCAAATCTACTATGCATAAAATGAAATCAGACAAATTTCTATTGAGCTAATCCAACCCACATATGTTTTATGGCCTGTTACTAAAAATAGCTCTTATGCAACAAAATTTGAGGTAATTTTTTTTAACATTTTGGACATATTTTGAGAGGAAAAAAATGTAACTTAAACAATATTCAAATATTTTGTTTTGTTGTAAAAGAATAAAGATTAGTTCTTTTAAAATACATAGTCAGAATGATTGACATTCATTTTGTTTTAGTGCAAATAGGTCATGAATTTGGCAATGTTCCAAAAATTGAAGTGACAATTTTTAGTGGAATTGAAACTATTCTAGTTAAAAGGGGGGATGTTTTAATCCAGTAAATTTTATTGCTTATTGTTAAGAATACCCATGTTAACAAAATATGAAAAAATTACCTTTGGCCAATGTAAACTTTAGAAAATATTGAAAGTTAAAGTTTGTGAAATTTTCACATAAAAAATTTCAAGGATACAGTTAGCGTTACTCAAAAAATAGCTCAAAACATGTCCAAAACTAAGAAAATGTTATTTTCTATCTGTATTACAGAATTTAAACAAACATACCTCTCAATTTATTACTTTATGACTTTAAATTTTATAAAATACATGGAAAAAGAGGCCGGGAGGGGGGGCTGGCTATGAATTCTTTATTAGCCTCTAAATGGATAAACTTAAGTATAAACATTTATTATACAACTATAGCTTTTTGATGAGGTCAATCCCTCGATATATAAACCTTAGAGGAAGTAGAGGAAGCATATCAACCGAGCACGAAGTGCGAGGTCGATATGCTTTCTCTAAGGTCTATATATTTAGGGATTATACAGAATCATAAGGCTACAATTGTTTTATTATTTTTATTAGTTCATAATTTAGAAATGTCTTAAAATCCTTCTTTATAATACCCATTAACTTCTCATACAAAGCAATGTTATGTCATTGTATTATGACGTCACATTAATGAAAACCAGCTGCAGTATCTGTTTTTAGAAACATCCAGTCTATAAAGACTATTGTGAAGTCAGCACTATTGTTGCTTCACAGAAGAACGTTTCCAATTTTAGTAACAGCAGGTTTATAATTTAAAAAAAAAAAGAAACATCCAGTCTGTAACACTTTTTATACTTGATCATGTGATCCAGTTTGAGTCAATCAGATAGTTGGAACAATAAAGAAAATAATAATTACATTTAATGCATGTATACATACTTGGTCAATATTTACACATGTGAACCATTTTTAGTGAACACATAATTCATCATACTAGTCATTTGAATAACATATTCAGTTGAGCGTTATAGTACAAACAATTTCTGCAATTTTTCAACATCATAGATACAAACATTGAGATATTTCAGACAAGTTCTTTTTACTGGGGGAAGGTAAAAATGACTTGAATTTTTTTTTATGTTACACAATAAATCCTCCTTTTTTGGAGCTACTTAGCCATTTATTTTGTTAATAAAATTTCATCATTTGCACTCTGACTCAATACTTTCTTCTTCTGCCATAAAACAACATCTGGAAATATACTGCTCTCTAACAATCTTTATGTATCATAGACAAGTAATTGTTCACTTTCTGGGAGAATCATTTTCTGGATTTTAAAGCCAAACCAATTCATTTGCCTGTTGGCTCTTATTGAACTCCATCAATGCCTGTTCCTGATAGGACACTTTGCAGTTTGTATCAGTAAATTTTGAAACTCTGTAATGCTTGAACATTTTAGTAGCATACAAATTTGCTGTGTTGTTCTTACTTGATCTTGAATTTGTAAAAAAAAGTGAAATTTCAAACTGCCAAATATTTTTCAAATTTCAAAATTGAAAATTCTTTTTGGTCTGATGAATATTAACAGGAGTTATACATGTATTGATGATTACTACTCTCTTTGCTTGCTGTAGTTTCGACAACTTTCACAACTGGAATAATCTTTCACTTGATCAGTCAGATCATGGTTTAATTGAAATGGGTTTTCAGTTCTGATCCATTGTTCCTTCTTTCTTGGAAAAACTGCATGACCTATGAAACAAAATGCACCATGAAATGAAAAGAAATATGTCCTCTGTCTTTGAGTATATATCAATAAAATATGATGACATAAAGAATAATTTTTAGTACATGCATAAGTAACTGCTGAATGGAGGAAAGGTGATGTTGGATCATTGGAAAGGTTTAAGAAAGAAAATAATGACAAAATCATTGCTGTCATCAACACTGATTTTAAGAATATTAAGTTTATAATTAAAACAAGAGGCCCATGGGCGACATCGCTAACCTGAGCACTGTGGTAAGCATAAAAGCAGAAACAATAAAAATTAATTTATTATTGAAAAGCTTAAACCCAAAAGTAGCCCCAATCATTCCTTAAAGGCGAGAGGGTATGATTTGCAAAACACTTGAATAAACACTACTCGAGAATGCTTCCATATAAAAACATGTATGACCAGTCATGGCTTTGCGATTCTTAAAAAGATTCTTAAAGAATTTTTCTAAATATTTCTATGTAAAACTTTGGTCGGCCATTGTGGCCCCGCCCTACCCATGGAGGTCATGATTTGAACAAATTTGAATCTACACTACCTGAGGATGCTTCCATATAAGTATGATTATTCGTGGCTTGTTATTCTTGAGAAGAAGAATTTTTAAAAACTTTTCCTATACATTTCTGTGTAAAACTTTGGTCGGCCATTTTGGCCACTTCCTAGGTAAATCATTCACATTTTCACTTAGATTTGATCAGTAGATAATTAAATTAGTGTGATCAAGAGAAAAGCAAAAATCAGCTCTTTAAATACCAAACAAAGTAAGAAATCACTGGCTTTATCATTGTGACAAAACAGTGTCACTGAACATGCGGAATAGCTCTATTAAAGAGCATTTGACTAATATAATTTTTTTTTTTCATATAAGACTTCTAAAATATTTTTTTCAGATAACAATTCTTACCATTTACATCTAGATCAGGACACTTGTCTTTTAATGTATTGGGGTCCAAAAAAATCCTCTGCATGTTAACAAATGTTGCTACAAGAAGTGAAAGTTAATAGTAAATTATTTATAACTTTACCCAGGTTTGTTATACAATTTGACTAATTTGGACCTCTACAACATATGGTATACTAATTAAATATCATATTGTGCATGCTTAAATGTTCTGTCTAAACTTTCTGTTATGAGTCATATTAGCATGACCCATTACCTTTCTAAAATATCAATTTTGCAAAATATATGTGATAATATTTGGATAAAAAAACCTTTCCTTCTTTTAATACCTGGTACTTTTATGTATACTCTTTAGTTTAGACTTATTTTGAGTAGCAAACTATTTCACTACTTGCACAATACAACAATTCAAAAGCATAAATTACATGTAGGCTATGCGAAACAAAGCATATGTGCAGTTGAATGTTGAATATTTTTTAATTAGAGAAGTTATAATTTTTACTCCATCTCTTAACAACTGTTTGAACTTTCTTAATTTCTTTTCAAAAGTATACATGTAAGACATATCAAACAATAAACATGACTGTTCCTAGTTAGAACATTTTCATTCATTATTTAAATTTCTATTACAAATTCTATATAGGTCACTGTAGATATTGAAATAAATAGGAGCTGCAACTTCACCAACTTGGATGTCCAATTTTTTTTTTTTATTGCAGAATTATTTCAAGAACAGAGAAATAATATTTATAATCTTCTGTTGTTCGTTTTTGCCGCATTGCGATGAAAGAACTTTTTCATAACCTATGATTGAAGCAAGATTGCAGAGCATACATGTTTTAATTTAAATACAAATCTAACATTATAACGCATTATATAATTTTATGGCAAAATAAATTTATTAAAAATGCAGCTCATATTACTTGAAGTAGAGATAAGATATTTGGCCTACCTGTCAACATGGTCAGATCCTTCAGTTTCTCGTCAACTTCAAGGAAGCAGAAGTTTGTTATTCTTCTTCGCCATTTAAACCATGTTAACCCCCCCCCCCCCCATTATCCGTATGTCTTGGGTAGATTCATAACTATAAATATACCACCGTGTACATGGTCAACACGGTCATGAGAAAAAAAATCCACATTTCTGATTTTACAATCAATCCTCCAGTCGGTCCACAACTTTTTAGCATAGAACCTGATACTATAGATCTCGGTCGGAGCTTTAAAGAAGCGCAAACACTGTGATGGATCCTTGATACTGTCATACAAATAAAATACTTGACATACACGGCACGAAATGGATAAAAATCAGTGAAGTTGCATTGTCCTCTTGGCGACCCTGACACATTGGAATGTCATTTCCGCCTTTTTTCACATGAAGACTTCCACAACGGGAGATAACTCTTATGCACACTTACTCATTCTTGTCATCTTATTTTCTTTGATCAATTTGGGAGTGATTTTAAGTTTTATCAACTTATAAATCTTTACAGCCTTTTAAAATATAAATTCAGACTAAAATATGTTTATTGGTCATCAAATGAATCCATATTAATAGTATTTGACTAATTCTATGGTACAAAATGAGAGCTTTGCTAACATGCTTAGGTCATCATTTCAACAATTTATAAAATATATCTGCACTTAATAGCCAAGGGTGATATTTTTATATTTGATAGAACATAAATTAATTATTATAAAAAACTTTATTTGATCAAATTATTTTACCCCCCACCGCTGTACCACTGTACTAAAAATATCCATAATTATTCTGAATTTCCAAATTTCGCCTAACATATGGCTTCAGTATAGACTGCAGATAGTTGTAATCATTATGGAAAATAGGTATTTGTAATTTTTGACATATATGTATTTATGAAAAAATGAAATACTGTATTTAGAATAATTATACAGTGACTTTATCAGGCCTCAAACTTTCCTATTTTTCCTTCTATATAATGCCAATTATTGCTAAATATAGAAATTGGGTTGTTACTAAAAATAGATGCATGTGACACACTCTTACAATTCATTTTTTATATCCTAATATAACCCTGATCTTAAAAATATATGACAAGATGAAAAGCTCTAAACACCCTTTTGGACAATTTTTCAGATTTTGCATGTTTTTCTCAGAGACAGGCTGTTAAAAGGACTATAATATTACTTTTTAAATGAATCGGCAAACAAATACACGACGGTACTTACTTAGAAAATATACGGCGAGTATGTAAATGAAATTGTAAAATATAGATCGCTCTAAGTTAACGGCATTTTATATAAAATAACTGTAAATTTATGATCCTTGTTCCTAAGATCAAAGGGTTGACTAGATCTTTCAAAATAACAAATCCTAAAAAATGTATTTTTTAAAAGAAATATTCTATAATTATTTTTGAATTTAACATTATAAATTTATTTTTAAAACTAATTAAATGGCACATTATCTTAATCTTGGAGAGGAAGAGAGTCTTACAACTTTCACACTGGATTGTTCCGAGAAACTTGTAAATGAATTAAAATTACGCTTTGTTACCTTTTTAGACAGGATTCAAAGTAAATGCAATATTAATAAAGTACACATTTTTGAGTTGTTACCCTTGTTAAACTAGGTAATCTGAGTACGGACCTACTGGCCTCTCAGGTCTGTCAGGTTACAAAAGTAGGTGGCAGAGCCGGGATTTACTGGAGGTATTGATGTACGTAATGAATCGACTGAGGATAGTCTAAGGGAATCCTTAGATAAGTTGGAAGAGAAGCTAAAGAGGTATATCTTTGACTAGTCTTTACATTTTAATAGGGGACATGACAGAACGCCAAGCAATGGTAGTGGACTTGCAACTCGTCAGTCAGATGGTTTATTTAAGAAGTAAACAAGTCAAATTTAACTCAAAATTAACATAGCCAACTTAATATACCATAATGCGGCAGGTTGCTTATTTAACATCAGATGAAATATTGATCCTTGACATTATGAAAATAAATCAATGCAACGTCGATGTTAGTAATGAAGTTCTTGATGACAGTGGTCCTGATAGGAGAATGACAATTGAAGGTTCACTCTGGCGTTTTAGAATAACAGCAGCTAATACAGTGAAAATTCCGCCAAGGAGTGAGTTGATTGTACCTGGTAAAGTGTGTGTTCCAAAGGGTTCAAGTTTGCCATACTGTTAGAGTATTATTGCACCAGTTGACAAGTACAACAAATTGCAGATCACATTAATTAACAGCAAGAAAAGTATTAACTCTCTAAGAAACGGTGCAAGTTAGACTTATGAACGTTGAGCAAGAGTCAAATGTGGTGCACTCTGGAAAGTACACTGTAATTGGATAACCTGCAGAGAGTGATACTGTGATGGACTGACTGGTTAATGAGAAATTATCAACTACTAGAATGCTTTGTTAGGATTTATCTGATTTACGTAATAAAAGTAAGACATTATGACTCCTTCGCAGAAAACCTGTTGCTAAAGTATACATGTTTGTTTACAGAAAATAGCTTGGACTATGGCATTATTTGAATAGTAAAACATCATATCGATACAGGTGACAGTAGACCTATTAAATAAAGACCACGAAGGGCGACAGCAAACCTGACAGTAAAAGTCGACAAAAATATAGATGACATGCTTAAAAATGGTCCTCGCCAATAGTGTTGGTCAGGAAGAAAGATGGAAGATATAGTTTCTTTGTTGACTTTCGTCGCCTCAACAGTTGCACTGTACACGATGCATGCCCTCAAATATCAAGTTTTGATTATTTTATTTTCTTTGGAGAAAATCAAAAGTAGCTGAAATAAGGATGAACGGTTTTTTTTACTGTATGCAGTACCGTAAAACCCACGACTCCCCTTCTCCAAAAAAAGTTAACCATTCCATTTCCATGTTTTGAATGATGTTTGACTGAAACTAAGATACATGACTGTTTATTAAAATATTTTAGTAGAAAGGATCTAAATAAAAACATACCGCTGCTTAAATCTGTAATAGAAACTGAGATGTCATCTTTTACAAGACCAACTGCTGACAGGATATCTGGATCATAAAAAAATACCATCAAGTATTGATTTACTTTCCCTTTCTTTGAGTCATCTATGAAGTGATTGTATCCATCTTCTGTTGCAAATGTCATGCTCATTAACATACTTCCATACAAAATATACATATCGCTAAGCTTGTAATTTTTTCGGAGGGTTGATATAAACGTTACAAATTTATTTAGAATCGCAATCTTCTTTTCTGGATTCATCCCTGCATATTTGGGAATAAAATTTTTCATTCTTTCAAGCAAATGCATGGCAGACTCTTTCTCGTCATCAGATGTGATTCCATCAACGTACAATTCAAAACTGCTTTGAATATCACTGATATCTTCTTCCGTTGACTTTTTGTTGATTTCGTCCATCATTTGATTGAGTGAATCGGTTATCATATCACTCATTACGTGAACTTGAGCTCTTTTCGACGTGTCTTTTGCTTCTAATGTTATTAAGAAAATGTTCCGTCTTCTTCCTGTAAATTAAAAGAAATTAATATTTTCTTCTAGAGATAATAAATATTACATGTATATCAAAAACGAGTTCAACTCGTTATTATACAATTACTATGAGGACTGTTAATTATATATATTAAAGTACCTATTGGTCAAGGTATGACTTTTTTATGAGTTTATATTGAATTAACTTGAAAACCGAAATCAGGAAAAAATTATTATTGAAGAAAATAAAGAAATTCCTCTTCCTATATTTTCGTCGATTTATTTTAAATACTTAAAGGTATTCAAATGCTTTTGCTTTCGACAGAAAAAATTATGAACCAACATTCAATGTAGAGTTTCATATTTGAAGGTTCTTATAATGAATTGTCCTTCTTCGAATGTATTGTTCTAATCTAAAATCACAATGAATAGGGTCATTCTAATGTCGTTCTTAATTTTAACCTGATAACAATGCCAAACATAATATAAACTGAAACATATGGATTTTCGAAGAGGCAAAATAAATAAACATTGAGATTCACATAGTAAAAAATACTAAATGGAAAAATATCTAATGCTCAAATCTAATGCGCATAACGAATATGAAGAGTCTTTCAAAAAATATTTATCTATCTACCCAGGCATATGACCTCTTAATTGTTTCTAAGACCACCGTGGCATTTTTTATATTTTGGTACAGAAATATTTGGACTGACCTACAGTGTATTTGTTATATTTTACGTACACACTCCATGTATAATTCTGCAATGTGGGACATAAAGAGCTATGAAAAATATTTTTATGTTTTATATGTGAAATTTAATTTGTGGTTGATTTTTAAAAAAATAGAATTAACCTAAGAGTTTTATTGCATTAAGAACTTTGTTGATAGCAAAAGCCAAACAACTATAGAAAATACCACATATACCAAAAGAAGGAGAATACTCTGTTCAAGGCGCAGTGTTACAATGACAAATGGAAACATTGGCGAATTGTGTTAGATAAAATACATTCTTTACAAGGATGGGCGGTTAAAAAAAAATTTACTGATATCAGAAAAATCTATGTGATTCATATCAACATGTTGAGGACGATTAGATTTATTTATTTTTATTACATACTTAGTAATAAAAACAGCTTTTTTTTGCACATGCGATATGGCTGACGTCACCATAGCTGTATCAGCCCTGCAAGGCTGATATGGATTTCCCGAGTTGATATAGGTTATCAGCCCTGCTGCGTGTATGGCTGATACGGATCAATATCACCCCCCCCCCCCCTAGTAAATTAAACCTAAAAAAACAGTAATTGTGATCAAACACATATTTTGGGGGTAACATAATTCTGTTAATTTTATTAAATTAACTTTTTGAATGAAATGATAATTTAACTGATAATGAATAGATTATTTTAAAATTACGGATTAGGGACATTTGAAGTAGAAGTACATGCAGAAACAAACCGAATCTGTATGAGACAATAGACTGTGTACATTTTAAGAAGTCCGTGCATGATCATTTAATTATTTTTCTCTCAACTTAATGTCTTCTATGTAATAAAATATAATAAAACATACCCTTTTCCACATCACATCCTGTATCAACCCTCGGGTCTTCAGCCCTCTGGCTGATATTGGTGACTCGGACTCATACAGGATGTGATATGGAAAAGGGTATGTACTATTCTCTATATACCTGTCACGTTATGTTCGAGTCACATGATTATTAGCTACATTTAATTGCAGCATTGGGATCATCTATAAGAATCAATATTGCAAGGCCACAACTAAGTTAAAAATACAAGTTAAATTTAAACAAAAAATGTAATTCTTTTCAACACAATATCTATTATTCAAAAGTGCTGCAAACTTATTGTTTAATTGCTAATTACATGTAGAATATTTAACTGGACAACTATATAAAATATAGGTATAATTAATTTATTTGCAAGATTTCGTTTTGTTCAAAGCACTTTTCAGATATTTAAATGCCTCTTGAGTTCATGTGTAATCAATGAGGGTATGCCCTTACGATAAATCGATTACGTTGCACCCTTTACTATCTTCCCAGTACAGTTACTTAAGGTGCACAATGAAAATATCGAAAATATTTTGCAGTTAAAAATATATTCAAAATCGGGATGGCGATTCTTTTAGTACCTTATTTATATCGGATAATTGTAGTTATTGTGAAAAACTACATATTGAAGACGATAAGATTCTATATTAATTTTAGACTTGTCACGTGATGCAGCAGTCACGTGATTTCAGCAAATTTACTTGCAGTATTGCAAGGGATTGTGGTCAACCGCTTTCGTAGTCTTTGTGGGTGAAATGCCATTTTGTGTTACTTATGAACGTCCTTTCATATGTCATTCAAAAGTTATCACCTTAACTACATATGGGTCATTTTCAAAAAATGTCCAAATTCCTGTTATACAAGCTTTTTTTGAAAATTTTGCAATAAAAATCAAATTTTTTTTACCCGATGAATTTAACAACAATCTATAAGTGTAGAAAAAAATTAAGTGTGATTAAAAATTGACTTGAATACTGAAAAAGTCCTTCAACCTGAGTAAAATTAAAGAGAATTGCTTGTGATTTCGCCGGATGTTTGACTTTAACTCTGATTATTGCTGTAGTAAATATAATATAGCAGTGTAAAATGACCTTTATTGTGTTGTACATGTTTAATACTGTCTGAATGCATGCTAAAATGTCATTGAAAAAGAGTAAGAATATGATTTTTTTAATGGTAAGTGTGTGTTATTTTTGCCGTGTCCTTGGAGTAACCAGGACATAAAAGTTATCTGTAACAGTTATCTTTCCTAAAGAAACTCTTCACTATTAGCCTCCCTCTTTTGGTATTGTTCCCGCCAAAATATCATGAGACACTTTACACAGATCTTTTATACCATAGGCACAATATGTGGTTGAAGGCAAGTTTGATTGCAATAGTAATTTATTTTTGAGTTCTGGAGTTACTTCGATATTGTGATGATGAATTAATTTGCCATTTCTTTGATGCATTGAGCAAGTTTATAACAAAATACCTATCATCTAGGAGCTGTGCTTTATGTTCATAAGTCAGTTATTGCTTTTATACTTCCAATTATTTATATAATAATTCCCTGGTGTTACTGTCCATTTTGTTACTGCAAGAAAAGTTACTCTAAGGATGTATCTAGTTACTCCATGGACAACTTACATAGAAAATAATTAAAAAGAATGAAAGTTGGAGTCATATGTTTTATTTTCCTCCCTTAATCAAAACTAACCAGTAACTAATTTTGTTTTAAAATGCCAAATTATTTACTAAATGTTTTTACCATTTGAAAATCATATGATTTTGCAGTCTTGGTTATGCAAAGGACAGAATTGGGTAACTCCGCGGACCAATTGAAAAAAAAACCTTTAAATTGCCAATTCTAATACAACATTTGTGTAAAGTTTATTACAATATAAAATAACAGAAATATTTTTATCAAATTGGCATTTATTTTTCATATTATGTTTCCATGAGCTATAGATTAATTCAATAAATAATTTGAGTAACACAAAGGACAATGTTTGGTAACACAATGGATGTAAAAACGATTAAATATTTATGTTATTAATATACTCTTGCATGTTCTTTTGTTTCTGTAGGAAAATATCCAACTTTTATTCCTTTTGAATAAATTGAAATATCAAGATTGATTATGTAATGCAATCATATCCCCTTTTATGCTCTTTAAAGTAACCTATGGTAACACCATAGACAAATTCAGTTACTCAAGGGACACAGCAAGGATTAAAGATAGAAAAATGAATCAGGCGTATTGCATATGGAGTGGTAATTGTGTTCATTGTATTGCAGAAAACAATTGTGGTGGGATATTGCAATTCAAGTAACAATAAATAATGAAGTGCTAAAAATATATGATGGTTAAAAATGGTAACACAAAGGAAGTTTTAGGTAACACAAGGGAATGTGAAATAAGGCAGAATATGATTTGTTTTCTTTAGTCTGAGGATTCTAGTTATGTTCTCTTGATGAGGATGATGTAAACAAGACACATTAAAAAGTTGCAATGAAGCCAATAGAATCCAAGACGTAAAAGATAGATTTATATCATTGAATTGAAAATACCTTTAAAGTTATATCAGATACGGAACATTTCTTTGCAAATGCATTTAAAGTCATTTAATCATGTAAACCCTTAGATGAAAAAGTCACAAATTGTTCATAACTGTTCTAAAGGGATTTCAAAAGATTTTTTAAGGAGACAATGTACCATTCATTACCCTAGAATACAGTTTTGCATTAAGTTGAGGATGTTCTTCAGATTTGTCCAACTGAAATCCCTCATGACTGTGTTCTACATCCTGTAAAAGTTGGTGCTGAAAGAAGTTTTTAACCTTGGATGTACATAAGCTTTTGGAAAGTGGTGGTGAAGATTATATAGTCGAGGCAGCATTGGACAACAACAAGGCCAGATATGGTGGGAGACCATACATTTCAAGCCACTTTGTTGGATTTTTACCCTGAAGAACTGTCAATGAAAGTTTAGCAAACGATCAGTGGATACAAGAGCAAAAAGGGCAGAAAAATATCAATGAAAAAAATGAAAAAGAGTACAGATTAAAAAAAAAGTCAAGAGTTCCTGATAGGAAATCCGACTAAAGAAACTGAAAAGACTGACACCCTGGAAGAGAAAGAATTGGAGTCAATAATGAACATCAGACTACAGATGAAGAGAAATCAGATCCTTTGGAAGAGAGACTGCATGGATAAAGATACAGAAAAAATGAACTTAAATGTATGCACGGGATTAGACAGAACCTAAACCCATGTTCCTTTTTAACAGGCCAAAAACTTTAAAAGATAAAAGCTGGTATAGCATTGCTAATGTTTTAATAATATTGTCACCATCATATCTTGTAGATGTGTATTATGTAGAGAGCTCATTGTGGAAAGAGGCTAACTGTAGATAAATGACATGAAAATGTAAAATCCATAAAAAGATTAATGCATTCTATATATTTGAAATCTGGTCAATTACAAATACATGTACATGTTCTAGTTTCACAATTATTTCTTCATTAAAAATTAGTTCTAGCTGATCTAAGACTCATCTATGTAAACCTTTGAATCTTTTAAAGGTGTCCTTTGTGTTATTTTTTGTCATTGGTGTTTCAGCTTCTGCTTGGATATGTAAATACACTAACAAGTACTGATCAATGATTCAAAGTCATGTGATAGTAATTATTTATTATTCGGGCATAACAATTTGATTTCATTTTTCTACTGTCATATATCTTATGATTGGATAGTTATGTCTATGTCGTTACTGTTTTATCCTTGGTGTTACTAGTCAGACTCAAAATGTATAATGAAAGAAATCCCCCGCCAATTTTTTATGTTAAAGCCATATACTCTTATATTCACCTCTAGGGTAATTTCATTACTATCCTTTTCGGAAGGAAGGAGAACAACTTTATTATTTCTTTCTAAGTATTACACAAAATATCCTTAGTGTAACCTTTATGTCCTTTGTGTTATGCAAATATCCTTGGTGTTACCAACACAGTTTTCCTATATTTATGTTCTAAATCTTTATACAATTTTATCGAAACTTGCAACACAATACTGTCGTTTTCTAATACTAAGTTTATTTGCAAAGCAAGTATTTTGTGCTGAGGTAAATGATGTATGCCTTAAGTAAACGTGTAAGATATATACAAAAGTTACAACACTTACAACTTCCAGCTATACTTTATCTGATAATTTTCTGTTATGAAACTTCAGTTTGATTCTATAGAATAATTTTATCATTATGTTGAGATTGTTATTCTAAAAACCTTAAATTTTTTTTTTAATTATGATTTTACTATGACTTTTAACTAAGTAACACCATGGACATTTATTGTTGGGTCCATGTACATATGATGTTTTTCTTAGTATATGTTAATAGAATTCTTTGTGCTTTAACATTGTTTATGCATCTATGATGTTTGAATGCTAAAATTAAACTTTAAAAAGTTTAGATCGCCACATTTATTTTTGCAAAATACTGGTGTTGGAATTTGGACAAATTTTGAAAATGACTCATATATTTTTTTGAATTATGTCAATCGTGAAGGTCAAGGTCACGGTGTCAGAAATCATAGCGGAATTACCTTGTCACGGATAATGCACATGTCATATATATGAAAGCCCTAACTCTTCTCAATCAAAAGTAATTAGGAAAAATTCACATTAATGTAAACGTAGGTCAAACAACAACGTCAAGGTCACGGGGTTAAAAAAAATTCTAGTGTACTTAGAATTTTTTTTTGAATGAAACGACTCAGAATTCTCACAGAAAAAGACTACCAAACATGATTTATATAGATGAAAACCTAAATTAAGATTAAAAAGGGAAAAAAATTCAAAGTCGTGATTAATCCCAGATCGCCTCCGTGAAAATTCAATATGAAAACAACTAGCGCAATTTTACCAGCCATCGTCGACATTAGCTTCGCACTCATTTCCCAGAGTAACGACAGTCAGAGAGGCTAATAGTGCATAATAATGGAATGAAAGCTAGCCAACAAAAAATTGTACAAGCAGATTCACATCGAAAATTTATTCTTTGATTTTTACAATAACTGCAGCAAAAAGAAGAAATAATCTAATACTGCTGAGCTGATACTTTTTATTCCTTTTGTTTATGTATTAAAAATTTTCCTTAAAATTAAAATTTATACTGAAACGCAAAAGAAACGCTACATACTATTTAGGGGGAAAATAATTACACATAATAAACAATTTTGTATCTTACAAGTATTTATATCTTCAATTTAGAAAAATCGTTTATTTAACGGTTGAATGATTTTCATACCATTACTGGAAGTCAAGTTTGATTCTGCTCAACAGAAATAAAAAAAAAGTTGCATGTTCAACAAAACATTTGGAAATAATACTGATTTTAAGGGTTTGTAACTGTTCATCGTAAGTAATACAGCATTATTTTAAAAAATGTTCCGTTCCCCTAGCGATGCTAAGGCTCCCTGAAAATGAGTAAAGTACGCATTTCCATTGCCCTAGTTGAAAAATATCAAAAAGGTGATGGAGAGATGCTGATGCAAACTTTTACTTTATCACGCCTCAGCAGCTCACTCTGACATATCATATGCAATAATGATTATTCTTGGACTGAAAGTCCAGGGTTTACTACACGGCGCTAGATTATAGAGAATTCTATCTAATCATCTGAAAAGAGGCATTTAAAAATTGGTAAATAATAATTCCTTTGCTAAGATCTCGATATTATTGAATCTATTGTATCGTAGAAAATGAACTACAATTGTTATGTAGGGCAGTCTTCTGGGTTTTAATATTATGTCTGTTAGGGGGTGTTTCAACAGACATATTTTTCTTTCTAAGTTAAAAATAATCATTTAACATTTTCATCAAATCTCAAATGCTATTAAAAGTGATTTTAGTATTACTGTATACCTTTTTGAAAATCATTGAATAAAAAATTTAAACATTTGTAGATTACTGCTTTTGCGTTTCAGTATCTATACATGTACTGGTACAAGTAAATTCATCTAATGACGTCATGCATAAAAGATACAACATAATTATGTTAACATGCAAATTATTTGTTAACATTGAAAATAATTTATCAGCATGCAGAAATATATATCAACATGCAGCTTATTTATGTCGACATACAGCGTCACTTTGTAGGTTTTTATCAACATGTGATTTATATTTTAACATCTTAGGTATTTATGTTGTCAAGCAAGATAAAAAGTTGCAACTTTGCATTGTGTCAAAATTAACTCGAATGTTAATATAATTATCATCATTTTTGACAGAAAATAAGTGCATATTCTATCATTATCTAGCACGTTAACAAACTAGTTATAATAATTGGCATTTCAACAAAATCCTTTAATAATTGCATATTGCTTAATGAAATATAGAAATAAAGTTAAAGGTAAATCTATCAACATTAAAATTAGATTTTTGAACAGATTTGAAATTTGCATGTCAGCATATGTTAACATAAACAAGTTTCATTTCTACACAATTATGTTGAATGTTAATTAAATTTATCCTGCATTTTTATGACAAGTTTTCGTCAGCGGCAATAAATTGACATTTAAACTAAATATCACATTATCCATACTGCTTACTTTAAAAAAAAGTTTTAATCATTTCTAAACACTTTTAAATCACCAGTGTTCCAACTTCCCTTCCTGAAAATATTTTCAGATCTTTTGAACCAAATTTTAGGGTTGCTTTATGGATATTATATCCTTTGTTCCATTTTAAAATGACCTTTTCAAGATTGATTCTTAACGACTTCACGTGTGCATTTAAATATCAAGTATGTTACTAGTACAAGGTTGATGAAAATATGTTGCTTTTTTTATTTTTAATGCTTAACATAAGCTTTATAACTTAGATATTAAGATTATTTGTAAAGAAAATGTACGTTTATCTTTTTCTATTTGTGGACTTCATGATTTATATATTTAATTTGTTTTCCTCATATTTTTCGGTAATATAAAGTAATAAAGATTGGTTTATCGTTTTAAATCAGGTGATTCACTTATATCTGAAGGAAAAATAAGAGCTGTAAGCTGTGGCATGTACCTGGTCGATTTTGTTGTCTTCCTGCCCTATGTGAGAGTACGTCTGTTCTATTAGATGTTTTTCTTTCTCTGACCATGTCATTTCTTTGTGGACGATGAAGTTCTTCCCTGAATTATACAAAATGTAATGCTTTATTCTTTCCCTAAATACCTTGAAGCTATGCATTATTAAATATAGAAATAATTTGTATTTAAGCGGGCCTACTGTGATCTTATTGTGTGAAAACTATAATAGCTAAACTATTCAATTTTATACCATATATAACTTACATTAACTTCAGTGTACACGCAAAGATTGGGGAAATCTACCGCCCGGATATTGTTAAGGAACCGTCTCAAAATACAGGTACATATACTATATGATTATATGGGAAAGTGCCAATTATTCGCACTTTAAACAAATTATACAAATACTACGATAGACCTTTTGCTCAATCTATAATTTATGATTGATAATACTATATTGTACATTATATGTAAGAAACATAAAATTTAACCGCCCAGTTACCAGAGGGAATATCGCAAAAATGCAACAAAAAAACCCCCAAATTTCCTTTTTTTATATAGAGTACTATTAAATATGACCCATACAAAGGATATATTCAAAAAATTATAAATATGACGGAGAAATTATCAAATTCCTATGTTTTAAAATTTATGAGCATATTTTTTTTACCTTTTTCTTTTATAACATTTTTATTACCCCATCTTTGAGAGCGCCTACATCAAAAACACTCTATTACGACGCCATTTACCAGTCACTTTAAAAAAATCCTTTTGAAAATCAGTTGCTTAAAATCTTAATAACATTTTTCGACCCGTAATTTCTGAATTTTGTTTAGTTTTTTTTAATTTAGTGAAAAAAAGTTGCTTTAAAACAAGGGTCAATTTTTTATACTAGGTTACTCGGACCTTTTTCCGATCGAATACCCGGCTTCTCGGTAAAAGTCTTATTAAATATGAAAAAGTTAATTGATAACTGTAAAACATTGTAAACTTTTGTAGAAATAAAATCAAATGGTCTGATGGGAGGTTTATCTGTGAATGTAACAATTACATGTATGACCACGTTGTTTCCGACGAAATTTAATCTAAATTTTTTTATTAAAGTTAAATTTATCAGATAAATACGAGAAATAAAATCATAAATGGTTCACAGTGGGTTTGTTTAGAATGATTTGTTCCCTAATTGTAATGTAACTCTTGGATGCGTTTTACGTCCGAATGATAAGTCGTCAGAGCTACATGTACAGTATCAACTTGATCAAGTTCTCCTTTAACAGAGCAAATTTACGATTTTGTACACTTTTCGATTCTATATTTCATAAAATTACGAGACATGTTGTAGATTGGTGCAACGATGGACATATGATTTTAAAAGCCTTTTATTTATATTCAACCATTTGCATTAATTTGCGCGTAATCAAACGCATCCATATCAACAATCGCACATGCAATATCGACTGTCTCTTTCCATGAGAATTAACGACTTCTGGAGAATTGAAAAAAATATGTAATTTATTTAAATATAATAGACCTTAAACGATGTTTAATGAAAACAAATAATTAGAGAAAACTAAATATAATGGTAGACGACAGCCGAAGGTGAGAAAAGCCAGGTAGGTAGCAGGTGCTTGGTAATTACTGTATAAACACTGCCAAAAGCGATAACAGTCATTAGGAGGCACAGGAAACCCTAATTACTGTATGTACAAGCGCAATGAATATTTTAGGGTTTAAAACCGTTGTTTTAATGCGCTAATAAATAAGCTTCGAAATATTTTAACATATACCTCCGAGTAACCGAATACTGAGTTTAGTATTCAATACTCGGACGTTCGATGAGAATCCGGTTAACCGGGTACTCGTTGACATCTCTATTTAAAACAGTAAATTCGCTTAATCTTACTATGATACGAGAAATATTGCGCAATGGAAACTACAGTCGACCCCCTTAAAGAATAGACACAGATAACGCTGAGATCAACATCAAAGATATCTTTAGATACCATAAATTCATATTCTAAATTTCAGGTTTCTGCATGGTATAGCTTAATAAAAGTTGGATATTAAGCATCCAGATATTACAGCTTTATGCTAAATTAATAGATTTATCTCAGAATAATATTAAGGCTTCTTTAAACTTTTATAGATTGCGTTCTTGATCTGTATTTCAGGAAAGTAATAGGATAACCTGAGTACAAAATAACAATAAATAATATGGCACGAGAAATCAATCCAAATTTACTCATTCGCAAAAATATGTTATAAAGGTCCAGTTTAAATATATATTTCTAGTTTTTTGTCTAGTTTTATATGTAATAGACATGACCCTTTCAAAAAAATAGATCAGGGTTTTCTTGAGAGCTAATATAATGTGCCAAAAATCAGGAAAAATTGGGTCCTTTTCTCTTAAGATCTAATTGTCAGATTGGTTAATTAAAAGAATGAATTCGTTCAAAAGAAGGTATAGAAACTAAAAAATTACAACAGGGATTCTGTAAATTCACAACAAAAAAAGCGATATCGTATCACTTGGAATCTTTTTCACCCATGAATAATCATAGCAACCAGAACCAGAAAGCAGTCCCAAAGACTGCTGAGTCTGCTTTCTAGCGCAGACTCAGAGCAGTCTCATGGAAGTTCCAGTGTAGTTGCAGGGACTGCTTTCTTAGAATACTTGGAGGTCGGGTTGATCTGGCTGGAAGTATAAACCATTTAATTTGCAGGTAATATCCGCAAAATCAAATAAATTTAAGTTTCCTTTTGTATAACCGGAAGAGGTCAAAAGCGACGGCACTCGTCCCGAAATATGTTTTGGAAGTCTTCTAGGAAAAGTATAAATTAAAACCACTAGATCCCTTATTTTAAGAACCAGTCTTTTTTGCGAAATATCATTTGAAAACTCTTGTATTTCTACACTTCTTTTATTGTATATAATTTTAAAAAAAGGTTTAAAGATATTATAAGCCATTAAAAAATTAAAAATTCTCGATATAAATATTTTTGGCCACACCGCGTATAGGCGATCCGTAGTTCCGATGCTTATGATATACAAAATTTCCCTCTCCATCTATCATCAATGAAGATTTAATACTTCTACGTTCCGTATTTTTTTTTAAATCTACCAGACAAATCTACCTCCTATATATCAGTAACAAGCTGAAATCTCCAAACCCTAAGTGATCTTATAAAAGCACAAAAGTACATAATTAGAATTTTAATGTTCTTCAGACATGAAAGTTTCGTAATGATCAGACGAGTCATTTTCGAGTTATTGCATGCATAATATCGGTTAAAAACAAAAATGGTAAAAAAGTAAAACTAAGAATAGCGAAAATCTATTCCGTATAAGACCGAAAAGTTCGATGATATGCTTCTGAAAATGCAAATTGTAAAAATGCTAAATACCAAAAAAAAAGTTACAAGAAAAGAAACATAAAGATAACAAGAGCAAAGCTCGTTGCAAAGCAACGAGTAGGTATTCCGTCCTGTTTGACCGGAACTAGCTTTCATTTTTTTACAAAAATGAGAAATAACGCCCGAAAATGCTTTGAATCATCTAAAGCTAAGTTAATTAATGCAAAAATAAGCCATTTTATGCTGCTACCGGTTTGACCGGATGTGACGACAACAGACGGAAAATTAATTCTAATACTCCAAGAGATATATGTTACCCAAAATCTTGTCAAGAACAACCAACATAAGTGTTTTCCGACTACTTCTGGTTTGGCCGGAAGTGAAGATACCGGATTTATTTTGATGACTCCAATAGATTAAGCTTGAAAAATTTGAGAACAACTTTGCTTCTTTGTCGTATTACAAATTCTCGATACGTTTTGAGATATAAACAAAAAACTTTCGCCCCCTCTAGGCCCTCAATTTTAGGGCCAGACCTTTTTAGAAGATGTCATTTAAAAGATTTTAAAATTCTACACTTCCTTTGTTCTATAAGTTTTTACAAAATATTTCCAGGTAAAAAGATATCGTAGAAAAGATGTTAGAAAATTTGAAATTCGCGATGCAACTGTTTTCGGTCCATAAAGAGCTTCAATACACAGCAATTTCGGTGAATATGAAATACGTTCTGCACAACTACATATATTGCTCTATTATAGCTGAAAATCTCAAGATTCTATCTTAAGCCGTTTTCGAGAAAACTCGCGGTTAAAATAACCCTCTAAAATTCACTATAATGCAAAAATCTCGGAACCGTGACGTCATGTGACGTCATCAAATAAAAAAAATATATGTCTAGATATTTTCATGTTACATCAGACCTGAAAGTTTCATGAAAATCGAGCTAGCCGTTTCCGAGAACTCGCGTGCACAAAATTGGTAAGAAAAAAAAGAAAAAAAAATTGTGGAAAAGAAACCTAAGAATAACAGAAAGGTCTTTCGTTGGAAACGGAAGACCTTAATGAAAGTTTCCTCCACTGAAGTTTGAGACCTTAACATAAAAAGAAACAGCATACTCACTTTATGTATTGGATTAGAAACGATAGACCCAATAATAAAAAATAAGTCAGCAAAAGCCTATTAGACATCTGACAGACACACACACAAGCAAAGGTTTCTTATATTAAAACAAAAAAAAAAAACGTTGTTTGCAGTATTGCTAGAAACTTAGAACCGATCAAATGATTCCATTTACTAAAAACATTTTAAAACAAGATGTGTTTGTGAAACATTATGCACTTGACGGCATCAAATTTCGAGAAAAGTTGTTTTCCTTATAGGTCAGAAAAAGGGCACATTGTAGTTGACTTTGGTGTCATTTGAGGGAATTTGTTTATTGGGATACGCATAGCAAATATGAATTTTCTATCTCACATAGTTCAAAAATTATGGTAAAAGCTTAAAAACATTTTTAGACATACACACATGACAAAAGCAATATCGCACCAGATCTATCGATCTAGGTGAATAAAAAGACAAAAAAAAATCCAATAGATTATTGTCTATGTTGCATATTTTTTCCCCAACAAAAGCCTTTTTTAATTTTTTTTAATCGAATTGAATTGATTAATTGTTTAACATCCCTCTCCAGAATATTTCATTGATATGGAGACGTCACCATTGCCGGTGAAGGGCTGCAAATTTAGGCCTATTCTCGGCACTTACGGTCTTTGAGCATTGAGGTATCTTTATTTTGCCACACCTGCTGTAACACGGGGCCTCGGTTTATACGGTCTCATCCGAAGGACTGCCCTAACCCGGATCCCCAAAGGATGAACTGAATTGTAAATATTGCATGAGAAATCCGAATTAATATAACATATTCCAGTTTCACAAAAGGTAAATTGAAAATTTTTGTAAATTAAGTTTTTGTCGTTAAAAACTGTTCGGGTTTTGCTTTATTTTTCAGAAAGGGGGAAAAAGATGGGCTACATTTGCTTGATTTTTCAAATAAAATCACAGAGCGCTGACCTGCTCTAGAACAATATTTAAAAATCTCATTGATACTATTATTCTACACATTATATTAAATTATTGACAGAGGTGGAACAGACTTGTGCTTGATCAATTATACTCGGTATATCGACGTAATATACTGCATTTCAATTTCGTGTTTAAAGTGGCATATAATCCCGATGGGCTGGGTGTTGATTGTTGTTTTATACAGTCTGTATACAAACGAATTCAATTATGTACACATGTCACTATAAATAAATAAATTACTTACTTAATTTATGCATTTTTTTCTCATGAAATCAAGGAAAATTAAAATCAGCGTCATTTTCCTGACGTCATATCGAATATATGATGTCATGGCTATGACAATATTCAGTTTTTGAAGTCTGCAAATATTCCCCTGTTTTCAAACATACACTGTACATGTAATAATATATTTCTCCGTCAAAGTTGGATTTTGGGAGGGAGGAAATTTTGGTCATTCCTAAATACTAGTATAATCCTTTGTTTCCTTCTCAATTTCGTTGAAATTATATGTCAAAAAGCATTAATTCAAAGGAAAAATACTTGAATTATGGAGTTAATGGTAATTGCTGGGTACGCTATTGATAAAAAATTATTAAAAGGAAAGAAATTGATCAATTATAAAAAATTCAAATTCATGTAATGAATATTTCAAACATTATTTTATTTGTTTCATTGTATTTCAAACATTAGAATTTATTATATTGTGCACTAAATTTCATTGTGAAAACGTGAAAAAAATTAAATGAAGTCAAAGGATGATACACGAAAGATAAAAAACGTTTTGAATACAGATTTGTTACTCACGTTCTCGTTTGCGAAGAAATGGTGTTTTCATTTCCTGCTGTAACTGGTAATGGTTGACTTGACCTGCGGACAAAACTTCTTGCTGGTGGTTCCTTAAAATGCTGAAGGGACACAATTAGAACCGAAATTAGGTTCAATCAGGAGTAAAGTTTATGTTGAATTCTTGAAAGGTGTTAAAGGATTAGAAGTAGTATGTGAAAATATCAGAGTATCGTATAGAATATGCATTTGAAAATGGAGATTTGGTAGGCTGATATACATAGACTCAATTGTGAACCTGTAAACATGAAGAATCTTCATACAAACACTACACAGGATGATATTTGTAAGGCGATATATTTTGATTAAGTCAAGACATTAGTGTTACATGCAGGACCATTTTAAAATAGCAAGGCCATAATAAATTAGTTATATAAGAAGTATGAAACAAAATTTCCTCTTTAGGTCATAAGCAGTTGTTGTATAAACTTTCATTGCAATTGCAGTCAGACGGACAGCTACACTGACGATCAGATGTACCAAAACTAATATCCCCCACTTTCAGCGGCGACAAATACCATTTTTTTGAAAACATTCGTTTCATTTTAAATGCAAAGTCTAAATATTTATGGACGATGTTTGGAGATGATATATATATTTTTAGGCTACTAAGTTAATGCATAAATACATATTTTACTACAATATAGATGCACATGAAATCAATGTAAATGAAAACAAAATAAAACGCAATATTCACCAGTTTATTTTGGTGTTTACGCTCTTTGACATCGTTTTCAAAGTTTAGTCCTCAGCTTCTGTAAAAAAATTAGAAATAAAAAATTATGAAATTAATAGAATAAAAAATTCTGAATAAAAACATAACAAGACAATGTAGATGGTTAAAATAAATTTGCACAATTACATGTAAGACTTCAATAGAATCTAATTTTAACGTGAAATAAATATGTAATATCGCAATAAATAACAATGATTCAAATGACCACATGGTGGTTTAAAATTTAAATTTCTTAGAGTTTTTAAAACAAGTAAATGCATAATTATTATATCTTCATAAGAAATGAGTTGATCAAACTTGAATTGTCGAGAAACACTAAAATTACATTGAAACCCACTGCATAAATAAACCAATTTCCTCCAGCCTAGAATCTGTAAATATATCCAGTATTGCAGTACCAACTTGTTGCAGCCTAAAAACATTACCTTTTGTTGCTTGTATAAATACAATGCAGATTGCATTTTAATTGAAACAGTCGATATACTTTACAATGCAAAAAATCTTAATGATGGAGATGCGCGTGGACGTGAAGACGTTAAAGAATGAGTGCACTTAAGCTATGAGAGTTGGAACCCGATGTTTTGCGCAAAATAAAATTCCAAAATTCATTAAATTTATGTTTTATAGGTATTAAACAATGTCATAAGAGTAGGTTTTGGTATATTATATTACATGAAATATTAGATAATCCCAAGACACAGCTTTTGAGACGGGGTTCTAACAGTTATGTCTCATTTCTATTGTTATTCATATGCATACCAGTTTTCAACGACTTTGTTTACATCACCCCAACTTGGCCATTTTTCTTATTTGCACAGAATATGTATTTTAACTTAAACTTATACATATCCAAAGGACAATGTCGGTCAAGTTGCGGCTCATATCTAATTTGAAAAAAAAAGTCCCCAAACTAGGGTCGAGATAGCTACAAAAAACCGGTCACTGAGCAACAACATTATATTATAATCACCTTTCTCACGTGACCTTCTGCTGTTCGATACGATAACGCTTTCATTGAAAATTTCATTGTGTTTAAGTTTTTGTGCATTATCTATCACTTCCAATTCAAATATGGGGGATTTTTAAATTTTAAAGGGATTAAATAATTTTTTTATTTTTTCTTTTTCTTTTTAAGGGGGGTTTTGAAAAAATTCTGGTATTGACAGTGTCATTAGTAAGTACATGTATAGGCTTATGTCGCCTCTGTATTATGGTCTGCACAGCGAGACATTTACCCCATCCCTTAACATTAGAATCATTTAATAATTGTGCACCATGAAATCAACAAATCAACACGATCTCTCTCTCTTCTCCATTTCAATTCGCAATGCGAAAAAATCATATGTGCTAATGTTTACATTCCACAACCATGCGGTTTTTAAATGTCTCCGCCTATTTGCGGATACCTTAGATTCGAAAGTGGTCCCGTTCAAATTTCCGGAATTTAAGGTTTTAATGTTCTTTTAAATTAATTTTCTATAATTATAGAAATGTGTATGACAAAAAATTCTAGAAATAAATATCAAAAGCATATGCTTACATTAATCATAGATTAATTAAGCGATATATTGTAATGTAAAGCTTAAGAGGCAGTCCGCCGAAAAACCAGGCAGGGTTGTTTTAAAAGGCGGCACATCGAATGTGACGAATATTTGAAATTTTATTGAAAACAATATCAATGTAGTCCAAATGGAATAATGTAATCGAAGATTTGTTTTAAAATTACATAATTAGTAAAATACCCTTTTTGTTTGTGTTTTAATTCCCCTATATAAACCATTGAATTTAGGTCAGAAACAACGAACTGAATTTCCAAATTTATTTAACAGGACTATAATTCAGCTTAACTAAATCTAGAAATATTTCGTCTTTCAGTTTCAAAAATAAAATTGGTGGGAAAAACACTTTTGATGTGTTTTCTGTCAAAATATATCGACTTTTTTATAAATTTTGCGATGTAAGAGTTATCCCCCGTGGCATCGGTAAATCTGCTAAACATCTTACATCAAATCCTGGTGAAATATTTAGAATATATACACAAAATAAAATTATTTAACAAAAACTTACTACTTCATTTTCAAAATAGAATTCATTTTCGCCTCCAAACGTAATATTTAGATTAAGATTGGCAGTATTTTTCAGGTTGAATCCACGTTTCCTTTGATGTATCAGTGACGTCATCCCGACTTATATTCGTCACAATTAAATAGTTACAAGTTTTCCAAAGAAGTTTGTAAATTCTTTGCATAAAAGCGCAAATAAAACGATTGAAAATAAATAATTTCTCTTTTTCTGTTCAATTACTTTTCAGAGTGCATTATCCTACATGTTAAATAATCATATATTTTTATATAAAAATGTATTTATTTCACGGGCGACGTTAGCTAGAAGTCCCTTTTGAAAAGTAATTTTGTACATGTCCGAAATAAACTTATTTACTAGACTATGCGTACAAATGATTAATTGTTTATATTGAATATTTCTTATAAAATTGGGATGTGAAGAGATTTTATTTTCTTCTGATTATCAAGGAAAGATGAATATTTTAGATTTACGCAACATTTAATTCAAGTCAACTGAGTTGAGATGTTTATTTCATTATTTCACACAAAGAAAAACCACTTGATTATATTTATCTATGCAGTCAAACCAAAGTAAACGATCCGCGGTACGATTAAAAATATTTCATTAAAAAAGTGAAAAATAAGATTTAAAAAATATTTATGGAGGAAAATTACTGTTGAACTCCCCACTTCATTTTTTTTTTGGTTAAATTTGGTGATTGAAACAATCACATACTCACATTCAATATGAAGTTAAAAAATGTGACCATGTTGGCCAATTTAAATTTTTCCCCCATTAATGAAAGTTTTTTTTAATATGCCGCCTTCCCCCCCCCCCCGTCCCGGTTTTTTTTGCGATTTCTAGGCTCTTAAATAATGATACTATATATTTTCTTATTAATATAAAATTAAATTTCATAAGATGAAAATACAGGGGAACGGTTTTTATAGATGACAGGTTTTAAAAATTTTGATAAAGCCGAGACTGTGCACATTTCAATATTTTTTTGCATTTAGGTACGTGATATATTTTCGCCAATGATAGAATTGAACTTTTAATTCACGAGAGAATTAAAAAAAATATAGTTGGAAATAAGATATTTAATAAAGATAAGCTGTTTACTCTCGGTTGTTCATAATGCATTACAAATGTTTTTTTTTAATACCGAGTATAAGAAATGAACAGATGTTATACATGATTGTAATCTTCATGTACGTAAAAGACATTAGTATTTTAAATAAATTGTATAAAAGTTTGAATCCATGTATAAAATAATTTTAAAACAGTTGACTAACTGAAAAGAAATAAAAACAAGCATATTTTTTTCTGATACATTAAATGCAGAATATTTTAGTTTTTCGGTAAAAAACCATCCCATTGAAATAAAACCGATCCCGATTGAAAATAATGCAAAATGTGTAAAGTTATAAAACTAAAACAACTGCCACCCATAAGACATGTACAAAAATAAATCAAGTAATTTTTTTGACCATATTACAACAAAAAAGCCAAATTTAACATTACAATTATAGTATTTCCTTCTTTATATAATTCCGGTCGGGATGGTTTAATTGTGAAAAATTGTAAAACATTGGTAAATTTGACCCCTTTTATTTCTCTCAATATAAAGGGTGCCCACGATTTTATTGAGTGACTCAAAAGTTTGTACTTTGTATTCATAATAACATGAGAAAAAAAATCTGTCATTGAAATGTATTGGGTTTTATAACGTAATGAAAATTTGGGTAATGAATTCAAAAAGTTACTTGCTAAATCAAATTTTTGGGCCACATATTTTTTTCTAAAGAAATGTAAATTGGAGTCTTATTCATTACTAGAATTAAAGATAAGAGTCTAGATGGTATAAATAATATTGATAGACACATCCGGGTTTTTCGTATCTGGAACATATAAAACAAAATAAAAACGTAGTATTTTTTTTTCCCACATGTTGACCTTTTTGCACTTAAAAATGAACATTTACCAAAAATAGGACTAGTGGAGCACTAAAAAATTTTTTTTATGTTGTCAAGTGTAAACACTTGCTTTAATAAGTCTATATGCAAAAAATAATAAAAAACCATGACATGCGATGTGCCACCCATTGCCTGATTTTCAGTGGACTGCCCTTAAAATGGGTAGCCAAAAGGTTCCAAATGACGTACTTAAGTGCACTCATTCTTTCACATAAAAAAAAATACGAGACATCAAAAGTAAGAATTTTATGTACTCTTGCAAACACTAAAAGCTTGTCGAAAATAAATAAATCAAACACTGGAAGATATCGATATATTTTGGCTTTGCTATTTAATTACTTAATACCCATTATACATGTTATAAACGCTGTCTAGTGTCTACTGACTTTACACGGTGCCATTGTGACTTCCTATTTTACTATCAGACAAATATTTTCGGTTTCCCCTTGCAAAAATGGCCACTATCATTCTTTCAGAATACCGGTATTGAAGATACGCATCTGTAATACGAAACTTCTGCTATCCTAATGAATAAAATTTTATGATACTTTGACAGATTATTTCTTACATATAGTGTAATCATGACTACAAATGTGACCACTTAATTAACTTTTTTAATCAGACTCCTTTGCGGGTTTAGTGTTCACAGTACGTCTTATTTCTCTTTATACAATCAAAATACCACATACTTACTGGTGAACAATATTTTAAGTTTTCACAGACATGTCAATTGTAATTCAATAACAAATGGGTTGTGCACAAATTCTAAAACTTATAACGCCATTCTCCTACATGTACTAAATTACACATTTAAAATTTTGTTTGAAATGCTGAACTTTTTTGAAAAATATTTAATTCCACAAGTGATTTTTGACAAACAACATAGAATTTTAAAGAATAATTACTA